TGAAGATCACCCATCTTAACGGCAAGGCTTTGACTACACCGAACAAGCTTGAGTAACAAACGTGCAGAGTACTAAATTACTCTAAACACAAAGAAGCTCCACAAGGTTTGTAATAACCTCGACAATAACTCAAGAAATATTTTCTGATGTGGAAGATCAGTTAAAAACTGCAGCCACAGAGCATACTCAGAATTTCAAGAGATCTTTAAAACGTGGCTCGGATACCAATTGTAGAATCAAAATAGAGTAAAAACTCTAATTGATCAAAAAAAAAACTCTCTTTAGAATAATCTCACAAAATTGCTAAAGGGAAGAACTCTTAAGAAAGCTTTCAAATGCTTATAATTAAGCTTTGATTGTTGGATGATAAAACTCAAATACAAGTAGGGTATTTATAGGTTACAAGAAACAATCTAAACCACTCATTAAAATAAACACTAAATAATCTAAACCATTGAAATTAAAACATGAGAAAAATACTTAATTTTCACCTAACTAAATTGATGTAAGCAATGACATCAAAACTAAATTGATGTAAGCAATGACATCAAATTAATTTAGGTGTGAACATATAGGCTAATATTGAATTTTCAACAAATGACGCCCGTACATATACAACGTACATGGTTTGCTTTAGGCCATAGTTTTCTGATTATTCCTTCCCATGATTTAGAATTGCATATGTTTTCTATCAAGTCAGCCAGTTGTGGATTAGGCTTGATGATCAATGATGCTGCACTTCTGCATCCCGAGTCCGTGATCCGATGGCTTATTAGACCTGCTTTTATGTCAGAGCACAGCTCTTGCCAGTGACTTTCTAAAAACTTGATGGCTCTTAGCAAGGTAGATGCAAAGGCTGAACCAACCAAGACAACCTCATCTCGTTGGATTAAACCAAAAAGTAATTGACAGTACAAGCTCTGTACGGGTTCTGGGCAAAAGATGGCCTCAATGGGGCTTGTGTGAAACTTATTTAACATGGCTTTAAACCCACTCTTCTTGTATAAGCTCGTTGAGACAGTTGCTGCCGTGAGGCCACTAGGGGTTTCAATCTCTGGTCTAGCAAACAAAAATTCCATTCTTTTATCGCCTTGGTTTATGTCACCAAAATGCCTTTAAAATCAAATGGATAAACCCAAATGGTTAGCTTTAGGACTAAACTGCTCTTATATGAGCAAAAAAATAAATAAATAAAAATCTACAAAATGGGTTCCTTACTTCATCACCGGAGACTCGTACAAGGTATAAAATAATTCCCACTTCTGTGCTTCTTCAGCAGTGACAGGCGTCAGCTTTGGCTGCCCTCCCGAAGTTCCAGAGCTGCATATTATCAAACATATGGTAGAATAATTAGGAGGAAGGAATGGAAATATAACAAGATTGCCAAATAGACAAAGCAACAAGTCCATGCCTCATAAAGAAGCCTGTAATGGGGTCAGCTAAAAGGATATCAGATCTCTCCCCATTAGCAATCCGATCAATGTAAGGCTTAAGATCTTCATAAGCAACAACGGGAACATTTTTCTTGAAGAGTTGTTTGTCAGTTTGGCCATGGAGGAGCCGCCTTAAATACTCTGTTCCTGCATTTCTATTAAGTATTTCACTCAATAACTCATCTTGAATTCGCTCAGCATTTGTGGTCACCTCCTCGATCATCCTCAACCCACCTTCATACCAATTTGTTTCCATCGAATCTATTACTCAACCACTCTATTGTGTTCTCTTGGAAGTGTTCTATCTACTTTTAAATACAAACACACCTACCGCTAAAATATATATATATATATATAATTAATGGTAAAGTATACAAATGGTTATTGACTTATTGAGTAGAGTATTTTGTTGAATTTTTTATTACAAAAAGTTACAAAATTTCTAATAATATATTAATTTGTTGAGTCTCTCGATTATTAAAAGTTATAAAATAATCTCTTATTTATTTATTATGTTAATTTTTCATTAAAAAGTTGTTAGACGTCAACCTGTTGACTGATATATGATAAAATATGATCTCAGAATCTAAAATGACTATCATATCTCAGTTGGTTTGTTAACATCTAACTCAGATGCATGCTAATCTTTTAACTTTTAATATTCGAGGAACTCAATAAAATAATATTTTCTAATCAGATGGTCATTTTATAATTTTTAATAGTCGTGAACTCAACAAAATAATATCTTATAATTTAAAACCATTTATAAACTTTTTACCCAAAAATTAAATTATAAAATAATTCTAACATTTGACCTTTCCATCGATCACATTTTGATATATTGAAAAAATTGGAGAACAATTATAATAATAATTTTTTATTGTCCTTCATACGAAGAGTTCTTAGTTATACGTCAAGTTTAGAAAATAAATTTTGATTTGTTTAGGATTATCATTTTAGGTAACGTGATCTCTACTAAAGCTTGAGTTGATTCGTAAAAGATTTGGACGATCGTTGATTCGTCAAAATATTGCATTTTTTTCAAAATATAGCAAAAACTACCCTAATTTTAAAGACGAATGGAAAGTACGGTGTTGTTAATATTAAAAATAATATTTTAAATTAAAAAATAAAAAATAAAACGAATACAAGACGTCTTTTAATAAGTTATTTTGGATTTAATGATTAGGATTTATTGTAGAGGGTAAATCTATGGAACGAAGAACTGATTATTGTTATAGGTTGAAGGAATAAAAATTGATTATTGTTAGTAAACCAAGATAAATAATTGAAAAGATGAAAAAGATGAAATCAGTCGAAGAAATGAATGAAATGGGAGGTTTTGACATGGCAATTGTGCCTTAAAAAGAGGGAGAAGATGTTTTTCAAGACCATGATACGACTAAGACAGAGGGAAGGCCGAAGAAACCAATGTGTATATATATGCACTTTTAATAAGTGATCGTGTATTTGTCTTAAACTTGTTTGAAAGGTGGTTATTGATTAAAAGTTTAATAGAAAATTAGATTGATGATAAATTTGAAATGTTTACAGTGTGATAGAATGTAGACATTTGGAGGGAGTTTAAAAAAATGATAAGAATATTGGTTTTGTTTGTATGTGAATTGAATTGAGAAGGTTATAGAGATGGATTATTATCAACATTATTGATAAAGCAACATTGATCGCATGTGAGAAAGGAAACAACGGCGAAATGGAAGTTGATGAGCGAAGAGGAGAAAGAACCTTATGTAAAAATGAAGGAAAAACAAACAGAAGTTTTATAACGTATGGATGAGTGGACATGAGAAGAAGGTATTCCGAATATTTTCAAAGCATATAACATTTTTTAAATGTTTTGTATAACATAACATAACACAATTTTTTGTTTTTAAATAAATGTAAGAAGTGTCCACAAGATGTAGTTTGATAAGATTGCATAATTTGATGGAGGCGTTGGAAGGGAAGGGAAACCTTAATGTTGTGAAAGAATTATGTTTTGAGAGTTTGATTGAGGTAAAGGGATGACAAATTTGTAGGGAGTCGTGTCGGGAGTTGTTTGAGAAATTTGATACTGAAAACCGTATGCTTCATTTTGGTGGCTATCATTCTCTTGTGGGGATGCACAAATTGTAACCGTGTTGGGGTTAAAAAAAACGAAGGGACCTACATTGGAGAAGTTTTTCAGAGGGAGGAGTGGAAAGAACACAACAATAAGTATAATATAAATTAAAATGTTACATTAGCTAAGCTCGAGTTCGAGATTAAAAGAGAAAAATTTGCTGGTGATGATCTAATTCCCTTTTTGGTAGGTCGAGACACTCGCAGAATTCAACCAGAAATCAAACAATACAAACTGAATTCCAAAGGAAATTAATAAATTAACATCTACAACTCCGTTCACTTAAATAAATATTTTAACAAAAAAATCTTCAACACTCAATTACCTCTAATATTGCAAGGCAACCTTGCAAGTATATGTGCTTTTGGGACTTTTGGAAAATCACTATTGCCTCTATCAATTGGTCCGCAACGAATTTCGCTCAATTTAATTTGCCTTTCTTCCCTTCGTCACACAACATCTTCAGATAGTCCATTCTCGGGGATGTATCACCCGTTGGAGCAAGAAATATTCCAAGAACGTACAACAAAACTCTACTCAAATCAGTATGGTATCAATTTAACAGTTGGAGGGATGTTTTGTTAAAAGATCACAGGTGGATTGTCAATTTCCAGTATGATATCAAATGTCAGTAGTAAAAACAAACCCTACCATGAAATGAATTGAAACCAATTTTGTGTGAGTGAAAGCATGAAAGGTATCCACAGTCTAGGAATTTAAACAAGTTATAATACCTAAACAGCCATCACAGAGGCATATATAGGAAATAACTCCAAATAGAGTTGAAGTGAAAGTAATAGAACATAATGGAAGGCCAGTTAGGGTTAAATGGTACAAAAATATCTTAATATTTCATCAGAGTTCATAAAAGTCCTCTATAAGAAAACTTAAAATAGTTAGATTAAAAATACTACAGTCTCTCTCGACCTACGAAAACATGTTAAAGTGCCCACAACGTGTTCTAAACTTGCAAAAGACTCCGAAGCTATGGGCAATATCAGTCATCTGGGGCTGAGTAGCACTATTCAGAGTTAACAATTCCAGTATCATTTCCAAAACTACATTCATGGTGAATCGCTGCTGCTCAATGTAAGTATCAGGGAGACATTTTTTCTTATAATCTCAAACGACATCAACAACAGGTACGAAAGCACCAGAAATAACGACAAATGAAAGCTATCACAAGATAAACAACGATATCTATGCAACCAAATCAAGATATAACATCAAGAGTACAATAGGTGTAGACAATATCAGAATTTGCAAATATTAAAAAATTTCTAACTCTTTTCCACATGTAAAACCAAGTCCCATGTAGGAAACTAATTCTGTAAACTCAAAATGAAAATGAAATCTAAAAGCAATATTAACCAAAATAGGAAGGTTATATAATTAGATATTATCTAAGTTGTGGATTAAAAGATACAAGATCACCGGCACCTACTCTACCGATGAATATTAAGCAAGTCCATGGCTTCACTCTGCTCCTCCAACAGCCCTTCACTCGCATACTTGCTTAAAAGCTCCATCTTCTTCCTTTCAACAATCATCCTCTCAATCTCCTTCTCATCGGGCAAGGGCACGTGCACAACGAATTCTCTTTCTTTATCTTTCCTCTCTTTCCTCTCCTCTTCCACCACATCCTCTTCTTCCTCAAATAACAACTCCCTCGCTGCAGCTCCCACGCTAACCACCTCCTTGGCTCCTCTCCTTGCTTCTCTTCTAATCTCTTCCACTCTCCGCCATTCCTCTTCCGCTTCAGCCCTCATCTTTGCCTCCGCTGGCCCCTCCACCCTAGCCAAAACCCCGCCCTCTTCATCTCTATACCCATAATAACTCGCATCAATCCTCTTATAAATATCATATCTAGTTCTTCGCTTTCGCAACTCCGGAGGCTTCTCAAACGGCGAATTTACTTAACTGACACATTTTGTCTCTAATATTCCATTTTTAATACCCGTTGACCAATATTTCCCGAAGTAACACCCATTGGTTGAGGTGGCACAAAGGCGCATCTCCGGGGATGCGCTTTATTTGAATTTATGCTGAGTCGGATGCCACATGTGGAAGGCGTATCTCCGGGGACGCACTTTATATGGGTTCTGCTGAGTCAGCTGTCACGCTAGTATTTCTTTTAATAATAAAGATTTTATTTTTATTATTATTATAAATAATTAATATATTATGTAAAGTGTTTCGATTATAATTTAAGAATTATCGAATGTATTTTTTAAATGTGTGTTCAAGGTGGAGCGAATTTAGGTTTTAGTATTATATGTTTCAGGGACTTTGGCATTCACCTATTCCACGCAACATTAATCGGATGGAATAATAGATGAAAACTAACTTTGATCTTATTGTAGTTATAGGAAAAATGTATGAAATTATAATATTAAACGTATTGTTGATTTTAAGTTGATTTTAATGTATATGTTTTAATGTATATGTTTTAATTGGATAAATTCATACGTATGGATAAATTTAATTTGAATTTAAGCAATGTGAATTATAATTGGAATATAACTTTTAATGTTAAATTTAAGTTGAATATTAATTTGTATATTAAAAACATTTAATGTTAAATTTGAATATTAAGTTGAATTTAATGTTAAATATCAAATACTATAATTTGTATATTAAAAACATTTAATGTTAAATTTGAATAAAAAATAACATTAAAAATATTGTTCTAACAACCATGAAACATTTAAATAACATAACCAAATTACATAAATTTATGAAATATAACTATTTAAATAACATTAAAATATAACTGGATCACCGATGTCTTCTCGAATGAGTTTCACATGGCGGTGGTTGTCTATTTCGTTGAGGATTTCTTCGTGGAACTTGTTCTTCAGTCTCCTCATCTTCACTATCATCATCATCATCGGCATTTTCTTCGGTTGGTGTTGTAGATGACGCTGAAGGGCCTGTATAAAATAACGACCCTGGAGGAGTGCTACTAACTAGGGGTGCACAAAAAATCCGAATATCCGATTTTTCGAAAAAAATATCCGAAACCGGATTTGGGAAAAACCGGTTTTTTTTTTAACCGGATCGGATTTTTTTAAACCGGTTATTTTAACCGGTTTGGAGAAAAAAACCTAGACCGGTTTTTTTACCGGATAAAAAACCGGTTTTTATCCGGAAAAAAACCGGTCTGTGTTTAAAAAACTAGCCGTTAATATAGCCGTTGGGGGGGTTTGTGACCGTTTTTGACCGTTTTTTTCTTTAAAAAATTACCATTTTACCACCCTAAACATGTATAAATAAGTTGGGGATGTATTTGGTTGATTACAAATTTCTCAAATTTTATTACACAACACTTAAACATCTCTCAAATCTTATTTTTGTAATTTTTTGTTCATCATGAGTAACACGGCTGAATCTTCCGTCGGGGGAAACCTTGAAGTCGTGAGAGTGATCGAACACACTCGAAACAAAGACATTTGGGATCACTACGATTTATGTGAGATGTCAAATAGCTCGAGGAGGGCGCGTTGTAAACTTTGTCTAAAGTTTCTTGCATCGGAAGGAAACACAACGTTGAAGAACCATTTGACAAAATCATGCAAGGTACTTCGCTCAAGATCGGATCCTAGTCAATCGAATCTTACACCGCAAGGTGGTGTTTTTGTTTACGACAACGAAAAATTACGAGAAGCGTTTACAAAGTTCGTGATTACAAAAGCATTGCCGTTCGACCACTTTGATGATGAAGATTTCACGACAACAATTCAACAACTAATGCAACCACGTTATACTCAAGTAAGTCGTACTACCCTTAGAAGAGATGTTATAAAAATGTGGCGTACGGCGAGGGAAAAAATGATTTTAGGATTCCAAGAACACCGTTATGGTGTGTCGCTTACATGTGACGTTTGGAGTTCCCCTCATAATACCGGAAATTCTTTTTTAGCCGTTACGTCACATTGGTTAGATCAAAATAATTGGCAAATGATGAAAAGAACAATCGCGTTTGAATTATTCGGTGAGCCGCATACCGGTGCTAATTTATTTACACTTTTAAAAAGGGTAATTTGTCTTTATAAATTAGAAAATAAAGTTTTTTCTATATCCTTTGATAATGCATCGAATAATACAAACGCGGTTCCAAGATTGAAAATATTACTTTCACCGATTTTAGACGGTGCGTTTTTTCATACCCGTTGCGTTGCACACATAATTAATTTATCCGTGCAAGCCGGTTTGGAGGTTATTGAGCCGATTAGATTAGAATTTAAAACAATGATAAAATCGGTTCTTTGTAACAACAACAAAAGACTAAATGATTATAAACGATTTTGTAAGTCCGTTAATAAAAAAGCTTTGGGTCCTAATTTGGATTGTCCAACTCGTTGGAACTCAACTTGGATGATGATGCATACTGCCTTAAGGCAAAGGGAAACATTGCAAACATTTCACGATCGGCTTTTCGAGAGGGGTCATGTCCCAAACATTTATCCGGATTCGAGTTGGGAAACTATAGCCAAAATAACCGATTTGCTTGAGGTTTTTAAAAATGCAACAACTTTTTTATCCGGTGTTTATTACCCTACTAGCCCGTTGGTTCTTAATCAAATATTTTTGTTGGCTACCCGACTAAATGACTTTGAATTTGAAACCGAAGTTTTTCAAGAAATTGGCTTTGCAATGAAGGAAAAACTTTTAAAATATTTTAAGGAGATTCCCCCTATTTTTACTTGTGCCGCCGCTTTAAACCCAACGTTAAATGTTGGTGGGGTTGAAACACTAATTGAACAAATTGCGTTTGTTTTTAATCTAACCGATGATGAACCCAACTTTGTCCAAAACCAAATAAATTATTTTAACAAATGTTTTCGAGACATGTTTGCAATTTATTTAACTAAATACGGATCAAGTAGTGTAATACACGATCAAATGAGAATGAATGCGGAATCATCTAGTAGACGTCCAAGTAACATAAATTTGAATCTTTTTAACACTCTTGTAAATTCCCAATCCAAACGATCACGTACTACCACCCCAAGTAGCTAGTTGGGAAATTACATGTCATGCGATTTTCTATCAAAAATGACATTTGAAGAGTTTGAAAGTTTGGATATTTTGGCTTGGTGGAAAGAAAAGGAAGCACAATTTCCGATTCTAGCCGCCATGGCCCGTGATTTACTAACCGTCCAAGCTTCTACGGTAGCTTCGGAATCCGCTTTTTCTGTTAGTGGCAGGGTTATATCGCAACGGAGATCAAGACTAAGTCCCGAGTCGGTGGAAGTATGCATTTGTTTAAAGGATTATTTGGATGGAGCGGCTCGTAAGCACCATATCACCACCCTAGAAGATACAATTGATGCCGATTTGGAAGCAAACTTACACATTGAAGAAGTCGAACTTGGAATATCCCCTCCAAACGAAGAAGGCGAAGATGATGATGAAGAGATGGCAATGTAGTTTATTTTATAACTTTTTTCAATTATCGTAAACTTTGTTTCAATTATCGAACTTGAAGTTTTTAAGTATTTGAATTTATCGAACTTGGAAGTTTTTAAGTATTTGAATTTATCAAACTTTGAAGTATTTAAGTATTTCAATTATGTTGAGTTAATTAAGTATTTCAATTAAGTATTTGAATTTATCGAACTTGAGGTTTGATGTTTTCTCTTTGATTCTCTCTTGATTCTAGTTGCTTGATGTTTCTTGTCTTTGATCAATGGCTTCTAAGCTTGCTTAAATACACCTTGAATCACTTCTGAACGTTAGTGATAATTAATGAAGATAATATAGTTGTTTAAGTGTGAAAACATTTAATAAAAATGCTTGGAGCGTGGGGAATCGGTACCCTCTCATAGGGAATCGGTTTCCTCTCATAGGGAATCGGTTCCCTAAGTGTAAAATTCAAATATTTCGACCGTTGAATATGGGGGAATCGGTACCCCCTATGGGGGAATCGGTTCCCTCCGAGCATTCTGGAAATCTCGGAGCCAAACCATTCAGTGAGGAATCGGTACCCCCTTGGGGAGGAATCGGTTCCCTATGAGCAATCTGGAATATTAAAATCGGTTTTTTTATAACCGGTTTTTTAAAAAAATCGGTTTTTTTAAAACTAAAACCGGTTACACCGGTTAGGATATCCGGCCCTCCAAACCGGTTAGAAACCGAACCGGTTATTTTATAAACCGGTTTTTTTTTTCTATGGGAAAAAACCGGATCGGATAAAAACCGATCCGGATCGGATTGAAATCCGACAAATGTGCAACCCTACTACTAACAAACCTACCGCTCATAGAAAATTGAGAAAAATGTGAAAATATTGGCATCAATGTCTGTGATCCAGATGGAGATTGAGGTGTCTGTGGAGAAGGATCACCAGCCAAATAAGATGCATATTATCCATATGTTGGATCATTAAACATACCCGTATATGCACCTCCATATGGTGTCATAAAACCCTGCGGGCTAGGTATGTAACCTGGCGGGCTAGGAATGTAACCCTGAGGGCTAGGAATGTAACCTGGCGAGCTAGGAATGTAACCCTGAGGGCTAGGAATGTAACCCTGCGGAGATGGCATATAAACTGGTGGGCTTGGCATATACCCCTGAGGAGATGGCATATGAACTGGAGGGTTGGGCATCATCATCGGTGGATAGGGATGTTGTGGTGGGACTGATACAGAACCGATAGCGCCTTCTCTCCGTCCACGAGTCGGGGGATGATGATATTGAGACGGTGGACGTCTCTCTCTGCGCCTAGGAATGTTAACCCCTCGTGCTTCAGCCGAAAGTAGAAATGACTTTCCATTTTCATTAAACCAGTCCATATAGTTTTCCGTAACCATATGACCAGTTTCAGCGTAATATTGTCGAGGGGCCAACTGTGCATACCGGTTCTCCCAAAGCACAATCCAATCTCTATGTCTTAATACCCAGTTAACATCTTTCTTGCCTCGTCTATCGATGTTATGCATGTCGTCTAAATTCCTAGGTGCTCCAGGAATATATTGCGTACAACCAAACTGACGGAGCACGCGATCAACTGGATGTCACTCAATAATAGCATAACATATAAGAGGTACAATAGACATCCAAACCTCTAATGACCCACTCAGGTGGGGTGGAATACAAGCCTTTACTTCATCGCTCGCATAAGGTATCCACTAAAACTGAAATATAAATATACAATTCAAATAAATATAATATTCTAATTATATCTAACATTTTAAATTAAAATATTCATATTTAAACATATTTCAAAACATACATCAGACCCAGCTTTTGTATCAATAAGTAAACGAATTTCCTATAGTCTAGTAGGTATATCTCTATGGTTCTTTCTTTTCATCGACCACCTATGAAATATAATATAAAATAAATATCACCCTATTTAATTAAAAATATTTAAATAAAAATTTACTTCGAAAATTACCTCAATAATAAGGGGAATACGTATGGTTCATTGACAATCGGGCATAAGAAAGGCATACGGAACCACGCCCATGATTGTAGAAGCAGGAGACATCCACCAATAGCAGTTTTCTTATAATTTGTCGCATGACACATTTCTCTAAAGAGAAATGCCAAAACTGCAGAACCCCAACTATATCTTCCGGCTTTATCAAAATCGATCAGATGCCGTAACCACATACAATGCATCTGGTTGCGAGATTTGTCGAGCATCAATATTCCTCTAATTATTCGTAGAATATATGCCCGAGCACATGCCTTTGCTTGATCCTCTGAAGCATTTTCATTTAAAACCTCAAAATTAGCTTTCAACCAAGATAAAATTATTCTACCTCCATTAAACTCTGGCGGAGCAACTCCAAGATAATCCATGCATATTGACTGCCAATCACCATCCGCCATACCACACATCATATTTCCGTCGACGGGAAGCTCCAGATGCATAGAGACATCCTTCAATGTAATTGTAGCCTCTCCACATGGAAGATGAAAAGTGTGTGTCTCGGGCCTCCACCTCTCAATCAATGCAGAAATTATGACAGGTTCGAGTTTGCAACCGCCAATAATGGTTGCAATATATCCGAACTCGACAGAAGCCAAATATGGCAAAATATGTTTCGGTGTCGGTATACGTGAATTTTTAATAAATGTATCTAAAATACGATCAGTATCCTAAATAATATGCATTATAAAAAATTAAAATTAATATAAATTCATAATAAATTTAAATTAAACATAATAATAAATATTAACATTAATTATAAGAAATTTCTTACCACTAATAAGAAATTTAAAACTCAAATAGTTGAAGATTTTGAGTTATATAAGAGAGGAGAAAATGATTTTGGAGGGGGGTTGAGGGAGTTTATATAAGAGGGGAGGAGGGGTAGTTGGGGGAAACGGATGAGGGTATTTATGGCATTTAATGGAAGGGGCGTCCCTGGGGATGCGACTTCCACACGTGACAGCCGATTCATCAAAAACCCAGGTAAAGAGCGTCCCCGGGGATGAGTCTTTATGCCACCTCAGCCAATGGGTGCTACTTCGAGAAATATTGGTCAACGGGTGTTAAAAGGGGAATATTAGATACAAAAGGGTCACTTTAGTAAATACGCCTTCTCAAACAGCTCCCGACAACTTTTTCGCCGCTCCGAAATACCGATACCCGGGGCCACGTCCGCTGGGTTCGGAACATCCACTATGTCCCTCCTAAATCCGTCATTTTAGGAGCATGTTTAGCGTAATTCGAGCCTCCGAGTTCTACAATACGGCGTTCCCAATGAGACTTCTCTCGGATAAGCTTGTTGATCTCGTCGTTAAGGTCGCAGAATCGATGTTCTCCTAGGCCATCGTTCTGAATCTCAGCGACCTTGCGGCCGATCTCTCGCATGATTTGTTGACGCCATTTGTCGGCTTCGGCGAGGTCGCGGCACTCGGAGGCGAGGAAAGGGCGGCGTTCTTTAGGTTTCTTTTTCTCCTCGGCTTTTTGGGTTATGAATCGATTGAGCATCGACTGCTCTTTCTCTTCGTTTGGAGCCATACCTCGATTGAGGGTGTCGGAACTAAGGGGTAGGATTCCGAGAAAATTTAGCGACTGAGATTAAAACCCTTGGAAGATTGAAATCGAGACCTGATAAAAACCACCAAAAGAAAAAAGAGGATAAATTACAAATTTAACAACCGAACTTTATTACTCATCTTTTACGTCATAAACTTTATACAGCCCACCCAATTGAAACGAACAATTTTGATTCTTTAATTGATGAGAATTTTTAACAATTTAATTGTTAGACCTTATATCTTTATATAGCATTTAAAAATTCAATTAAACTTAAGCTTTTTTATCATATATATATATATATTATTTTAAACTTTAACATTATTTTTTTAAATGTAATCATTACAATAATTATCTTTATTTAAATATTTAAATTAATTATGTATTTTGGTATATCGTTTTAATAATATTTTGTAGCATGTGACATGCCCTGCACACTAATCCTTATATTTACTTTATTACATTCTTGTATTTACATTTTTATAAAAAAAAAATAGTGGTATTCATCCAACCCACAATTCATTTCATCAATTTGTTATTCTTTATCTTTTATCGTTATCCGTAGTCATATACTTTAACGGGAAAAAACAAACTTGACCTATAATTCTCATTAAATAATAATATAAAATCTAAAAAAAAATTTAAATTAGAACTCTCATACAATTAACCAAAGAAGGTACTTAAATAGTCATTTTATGAAACATAGCAAACTAGAAATTCCAAAATAAAAGAAAAAAAACTTGGATAAAACTAAAAAGCCAGTTCCAAAATCAAGAATAATACAGCATATCTCATTTAATAGAAAATGCATGTAATTTAATAAAACATGTAATTATTCTCTCATATAAGCTTTTAAATATTGGAAAAAGTAGGATCTTTGGACTGAAATAACACACCTACTTACAAAGGTGACTTTGGACTGAAAAACTTTCCCATCACTCTTGAATCCAATATCTTCAAGGCTTCCTTGGATTTAATGCAACTAGGTCTCTTGTATTGGCTCAAAGATGCTCCTTTGGACACATAGTGATCCATCAGTGCATCAAATGTTCCTTGTTTTACAACCCTAATCTCCAAAGGTGCAATTATATTCTTTTTCCTGTAGATTTTATATGTATAATGCAATGACTCTTCCAGTCTATAGCAACATTCTACCATTATCTTTGGGTCAAGCTCTTTGCAATGGTTGCCTTCTTTTTGCTTCAGCTCCCAAAATAAGACATAGTGACCTGGTGCTGAGGAAGTATCAGCATAGCTAGTGTACTCTGTCAACACGAATCCGAGTGGATCGAGAAGGGCCTTTGCTTCTGTCACAGCCTTGAAGAGGTCTGCTTCGCTTGTTTTTTCCTGGTCTACACTTATAGCAACATTTTGCCTCTCCACAAATTGGAATTGAGGTGCATTATTGTGAAAACCAGTCACCATAAGAACATCTCCAACTTTATATCGATATAATCCTGAAATGAAGGAATATCATCGAACAAGATTAGATCATTAACTAACAGGTTAATGTACTAAGAACTAGGATGTATGATGCAAAATTAGAAAGATTTAATGGTTCGAGTTACAAAGGAGAAAATTTTACCTGTAGAAGTTGTGACAAGTAGTTCATAACGGTGACCAGGCTTCACATTTACAAGGTCAACAGATTCAGTGTCTTCATTGTCGTTGCTCCTCATTTCAATAGATTCATCATGGTCATTCTTCACAGGAAGGAATTCAAAGTAAGCCATGTTAGGGAGGAATGTGTAAGAGGCATCAGCAGGTTTGCATAGAGGGTTTAAATTAATCCCATACTGAGCTTCCGAGCTAGCATATGCAGCTGAAACTAAAGGGAGCCCTCTGCAATAGAACTCGAGTTCTTCGGTATAATGACTCATAACGCCCGTGCATACGCATCGGACATAGTTTGCTTTAGGCCATAGTTTTCTGATTATTCCTTCCCATGATTTAGACTTACATATGTTCTGTATCATGTCAGCCAGTTGTGGATTCGGCTTCATGATCAATGATGCTGCACTTCTGCATCCCGAGTCCGTGATCCGATGGCTTATTAGACCTGCTTTTATGTCAGAGCACAGCTCTTGCCAGTGATTTTCTAAAAACTTGATGGCTCTTAGCACGGTAGATGCAAAGGCTGAGCCAACCAAGATAACCTCATCTCGTTGGATCAAACCAAAAAGTAATTGACAGTATAAGCTCTGTTCGGGTTCTGGGCAAAAGATGGCCTCAACAGGGCTTGTGTGAAACTTACGTAACATGGCTTTAAACCCACTCTTCTTGTATACGCTTGTTGAGACAGATGTGGCCGTGAGGCCACTAGGAGTTTCAATCTCTGGTCTAGCAAACAAAAATTCCATTCTTTTATCGCCTTGGTTTATGTCACCAAAATGCCTTTAAAATCAAATGGATAAACTCAAATGGTTAGCTTTAGGACTAAACTGCTCTTATAAAAGCAAATATATATATATATATATATATACAAAATGGGTTCCTTACTTCATCACCGGAGACTCGTACAAGGTACGAAATAATTGCCATTTGTTTGCAACTTCAGCAATGTCAGGCGTCAGCTTTGGCTGCCCTCCTGAAGTTCCAGAGCTGCATATTATCAAACAGATGGTAGAATAATTAGGAGGAAGGAAGGGAAAAATAACAAGATTTGCAAACAAACAAAAGCAACATGCTCATGCCTCATAAGGAATCCTGTAATGGGTTCAGCTAAAAGGACATCAGATCTCTCCCCATTGGCAATCCGATCAATGTAAGGCTTAAGATCTTCATAAGTAACAACGGGAACATTTTTCTTGAAGAGTTGTTTGTCAGTTTGGCCATGGAGGAATCGCCTTAAATACTCTGTTCCTGCATTTCTAGTGAGTATTTCACTCAATAACTCATCTTGAATTTGCTCAGCATTTGTGGTCACTTCCTCAATCAACCTCAACCCACCTTCATACCAATTTGTTTCCATCAAATCTATTACTCAACCACTCTGGCGTGTTCTCTTGGAAGTGTTCTATCTACTTTTAAATACAAACACACCTACAAAAGGTATATAGGGTCGCTAGTGTTTTATTGAATTTTTCGTTTATTAAAAGTTATCTACTAATGATCAACTATTTAAAGTTATAAAATGATCACTCAATTATTTATTATGTTTTGAATTTGTATTTTTATGTGAAAAATTAACGACAGTCTAACTAGACATTAACATATTGACGGAGATATGATAAAATATGATATCGAAATCTCAAACAATTATCATATATCAATCAATATGTTAACATCTAACTCAGACAAACATCGATCTTTTAACGAAAAAATATGGGTTTGAAACATAATAAATAGTCAGTTGATGATTTTATAACTTTTAATAATCGAGTTACTCAACAAAACAACAACTAACAAAATAATATTCTATAGTTGAAGGTCATTCATAAACTTTACCCAAATATTAAATTATAAAATAATTCTAACCATTTGACCAATTTGTAATGGTTTCCGTCGATCACATTTCGATATATTGAAAATTGGAGAACAATTCTGGTCATCATTTTTGTATTGTACTTCATAAAGAGAAAGTTTGTAGCTTTTTGACTTTCCCAAATAGTTGATGGGAAGCCACCAAAACATTATCATTGAAGTTTGTAGCTTTTTCGAATTGATATAATATTATGTTCGGCCATCAACAGCGATAGCATCAACCTGAGCAAAGCAGTGACGCAATATAACTTAACATATGGGATAAAATGAAGCTGTTTTAAAGTTCTCACGGTCTCTCTCAATCACTAATTGACAATCCTAGTCGAGTATCTCGGTCACATCGACAATCTTAACTGGATAGCCTCGGTCACTATCGACAATCTCAGTCAAGTGTCCCGGCCACCACCATAGACCAGTAGGAGAAGTGTTCGCCCAAAGTTCATAATTTTTTTTAATTAATTATTGGTATTTGATCTATTGAAATGACCATCCAGCTCAGTTGGTAGAGTACAAGGTCCTTAATCTTGAGGTCGTGGGATCGAATCCGATGGAGGGCATTTCATAATTTGGAGGTCTCCTACGAAAGTTGCTCTCAACCTAGTGTTGGGGGCAGCCTACTATCTTACCTCCCCCTTACCCCATTACATATGGGAACAAGGGACAACCATTTTTATTCGATCTATTGACCGATTAATTCATATCGGGTACTGCAGAGGCGAGGGCGATCCTCCTAACCCAGTTTGCTCCATTCTCAAACGCTATGATTCGAACCTCTGGTATTGCTTATGGGCTTTGAGGATACGATCAAAGCCCATAAATTTTAATTCTCATGAAATATTAATTTATTAAAAAAATTAATAAGCTGTCAAACATTAAAAAAAGTAATAACGTTAATAATCCATAAACTACCATTATTAAAATTTTATATTAAAGTTAATCAATTGTTCCACTTCCTATAATAATACTCTAATTTAATATTTTTTTCTAAAATTTCAAAAAAAATCAATTAAATCTTTTTAGCTTTGATCTTTTTAAATTCTAAAAAGTTGTGTTAACGGTTATTTTTCTCTCTTTAAAACTCAATGAGAAGAGAGAATTTTGAGTATAATTTCTCTTCCTCATATCATAATACATCTGCAAATTATTACTCTCACTTTTCAATTTCTTATATTTTTCATAAACATAATTGTTTATCATCAATTGTGGTGTTTGAATCATATTAAAGATTGTTCTTAAAATTCTAAGTAAGATCATGTTTCCAATTTTTTTCTTATTTCTATATTATGGATAAATTACTCTTTTATTTTTGTTTAATAAATTCTGGATATGAAAATGTCAAACGTGGATATATAAATTATCCATCTTCTTTCTTTGAGTAATCTCAATTTAATTCTAAGTTCAAACATAACTCTTAAGGTAAAACTCTTTTGGGATCTATTTCTTTTGTGGTTTTCTTTGTTGGTTTTCTTATGTATTTATTATATTTATCAACACCAAGTTGTTGGGTTTTTAAAAAATATATATTTTATTGAATTATATTTTTGTTTGGGTAAAGAAAGATAGTACATTGAAGATTTGATTTTTAAAATTCTAATGTAAATTATTTACTTAATTTCATAGTTCAGTCATTACAGTGTTACGAATTTGGTATATAAATACTTCGATCGGAGATATTCCCATTTTACAGGTGCTATTATCTTTTAATTTTATTGTCAAGTAATGTCGCCTAAAAACATTTGTATGATAGCGAAAAAGAAAAACAACGAAGAGATAAGTTAATAGAATCACAAAAGATAGTTCTTGACAAATTCTTTAAAAATAGAGTATGAGAGCCTTCTAATGAAAATTTAAATGATGTTTATATGAATTTAAATAATCTTGATAATTCTTTAAATTATACCAATGCGGATGCTACTAATGCAAATGATCATGATAATATTCTAAATCATATAGATGATGACATTTCTAATTTAAATGACTATAATTATGCATAAATGAGTATAATGCTGAAGATGTTGGGATTGTTCAATACTTAGTCTCCCAATTGGATATTTATGATCCTAGAAATTGGGGTAATATTGATAATAAATATAGAGAAATTTTAGCTGAAAAATGACCTATAAGATAATTAAATTTAAAATTTCATGTAGTTAATAATTCTAGGCATTTTTCATATGCTTATTTTTTTTAGAAAATTGAGTAATTGAGAGATTAGTAATAGAAAATGGTTGGTCAATTCTAAACATGTGGATAAAATTGAGTAATTGAGAGATTAGTAATAGAAAATTTCATGTAGTTCATAATTCTAGGCATATTTCATATGCTTAATAAGTTCATGTTGATTATGAGACTGATATATCGTGAACGAATTTGATTTTTTACATGTTTTTGAAATTTTACAGTTGAATTGTATTGAATTATAGCTTTAGAAGACAATTTTGCATCCACGCAACTCGAAATACATCATGACAAGGTAGTATATTTGGAGCAGCTACTTGACCCTGTCATGATGCCTTTCGAGTTGCGAAAGAAACTGAGAGGTGAATGCGTTGTTTGGGATTTCATTATATTTGATCATCTGTTGGAAAATATTTAACCAAAATGATTAAACGAAGAAATTATTATATGTCATTTATATAAAATAATTTCAGCTTTGTTGGTGACTTTCAACAATGATACTTAGTTCATATTAGTAGTATTTGTCAACTCTACATTTCTAACCCCATTTTTTTCTCACAATCATTTAATTTGATAAGTAAAAAGGGAAATAATCAAAGAGCTTCTCTTGATTATCAAGAAACTAATGAGAGACATGTTGTCAGAGCTTGTCAATAATCATAACCAATTTAGTGAAACGTAGAAGATTTTATCATTGCATCTATGATCAATTATCTGAACCAATTCTGAAATTATACCTTTAGTTGGATATTTGTTTGATATTAATTCCTCTAAATTCTTAGTTGATTATAATTGTTTTTTCTTTTTCTTTTTCTCAATTTCAAAACCCCTTTTATTTGCTTTAATTTTCATTAAAATAAGTCTACCCAATTCCTGTGGATTCGACCTTGCTTATCGCTACTAAAATTTATATTTCTAAAAGCAAGTATTATTATTTGTTGGATTCGACACCCACCAATTTCATCGAACATATATGCTTCACCTGAGATGACATGTATCTAACATTACACCTTGAACCGTTGATGGTCCCGATAATCCCTTGGTCAGGTCTTCTCTCAATGGACCTTATTCAAGTCAACACCTCCACATAATTCAAAGTTAGATTAGAATTTCCCATGCATCCCTGACTGAAAAGTTACGCTGGAAATGAGAAGAGAGAAACGAAAAAGGGAATTCGAGATCGAAAAAGAATTTGGGGTTTAGAATGAAATTAAGGACTGTGTTGCAAGTTTTAAAAGTTAGAGGACCTAAATGCAAGCGCCTAAAAAGTTCAGTGACCATATTGCAAACGTACTAACAGCGGTGTAACGGCGTCAAACGGCCGGTTTCGTCAGGCACCATATTGCAAATGGACTAAATGTTGGGGGACTGTATTGCAAGTTTTAAAAGTTGGGGGACCTAAATGAAAACTTTAAAAAAAATTAGTGACCATTACTATACTTTACCCTTATTTTTAATTAATTTTTTCGTAAAAATTTCAAACTTCCAAAATAAAGTCATGATTATTTTTAATTAAATTTTTCGTAAAAAATGGTTATGATATTATGTTTTGGTATGGGACTGTATACTCGTATTTACATTTTTATAGAAAATACTGGTATTTATTCAGCCCACAATTCACTTTATCAATTTGATATTATTTATCGTATCTGTGGTCATAAACTTTATCGTGTATGGGACTGTGGTCATATTTACATTTTTAGTACGTTTTCTCGAAGATTGTAGAAAGCATACCTCTGTGATAAGCCTCAGCTGATGCGCGTAGTCTTTGCCAGGGAAGAGGGGTTGTCTAGGCATGATTTCACCGAGTAACTACATACTCTGTCATAAAATCAGTTTCGGATGTAGTCCTTACAAGCCCAAAATCTTCAATTTTAAGGTCACAATTCGCATTCAGAAGCAAATTACTGGGCTTTAAATCACGATGCAAAACATTTGCTGAATGTACATATTTCAGCCCTCGTAGAATCTGATATAGAAAGTACTGCAAGAGTAGCAGTGCAGAATCAACAATTGTTTCAGCTTCTAAGTTGCTAACAGAAAACGGATAACGTTTCTATCCATGTATATTGAATACTACAGCAAGTATTTGATACCGACCCGACAATGATCATCTGTCAACGATGGGTTAGATCGAATGATTTGACGAAGATCAGTGTCCATGAGTTCGTAAACAATGTAGACATCATTAAAGTTCTCCTTTAGTGGAGGCCGTATGATGTCTTTGATGGCGACCACCTGAAGAAGAAAAGGAGTCTCATGTCATTAGCACCCGTATACAATTACGGGTCGATTTACATGAACAACATGTGAACGACAGAGCCAAGAGGACTCACATTCTCATGATCCATGTGACGACGAAGCTTGATCTCTCGCAGAGTCCTCTTGGCATCGATCCGGTTGTCGAAAGCGTTCCCGATTTTCTTGATAGCAACCTCCTCCCGCGTCTCGGAATTCAAGGCAGCACTATGAAAAGGGAGGAGCAACAAATTTCCCACAATAACATTAAGCTGGTGTACCGTAAAATCTCCCCGTTTTACGACTTTGCAAGAAGTTGTAAGGATTCTTTACAGGTTCTAAAATAATATTAATTTCCCACAATAAATTTGGAATCTGTTCTGCATTTTGGCTTTTTCACCGTATAAGTCTATAAGATGTATCTTCCTTGTCTAAAGCTCGTCATAAACAAAGTTATTCGGAAAGAAAAAAATAAGTATATTTTTTTGTGACATGATAAATATGCCTCTTACATGTCTTGCATTTTCGACATTCCGCCCAACCATAACTCGTAGTTCCACAACCATTGAACCAAGAGCCAGCCAACGCCTAATAATAGCATCCAAGTTGGCTCGAGTCTTTTGACTGAAAAGCTATGGTCAAGGGCCAATCCACCTCATGGACGGTGGTCAGCCCATGAACTATTCTATCATACCATAGAATAGTACAAATAAGATCCCTTTCCCGCTTCACCACAAGTTGCAACTGCAACAATACTATCCACAGATTTAACATGCAAATCACAATATCACCAATATTGTTTTCCCAGTTTCATACGACTACAATAGATACAACCTGAGAATCTTTTCTCAGCATTCAAGCCTGGGATCATTATAATACTATCCAATTTGCATGTCCACCTAATTTTTCACATATAAAACATCCATACAGTTTGAGGCTGAAAAAAACTGCACAGAATTTATACCTCTTTTGGGAGCAAACACTAACGCATGTTATACATGTCAAGAATAGCCTAATTTAATAGAAAATGCATGTAATTCAATAAAACATGTAATTATTCTCATATAAGCTTTTAAACATTGGAAAGAGTAGGTCTTTGGACTGAAATAACACACACATTAACTTACAAAGGTGACTTTGGACTGAAAAACTTTCCTATTACTCTTGAATCTAATATCTTCAAGGCTTCCTTAGATTTAATGCAACTAGGTCTCTTGTATTGGCTCAAAGATGCTCCGTTGGCCACATTGTAATCCATTAGTGCATCAAATGTTCCCTGTTTTACAACCCTAATCTCCAAAGGTGCAATTATATTCTTTTTACGATAGATTTTATATGTATAATGCAATGACTCTTCCATTCTATAGCAACATTCTGCCATTATCTTAGGGTCAACCTCTTTGCAATGGTTGCCTTCTTTTTGCTTCAGCTCCCAAAATAAGACGTAGTGACCTGGTGGTGAGGAAGTATCAGCATAGCTAGTGTACTCTGTCAACACGAATCCGAGTGGATCCAGAAGGGCCTTTGCTTCTGTCACAGCCTTGAAGAGGTCTGCTTCGCTTGTTTTTTCCTGGTCTACACTTATAGCAACATTTTGCCTCTCCACAAATTGGAATTGAGGTGCGTTATTGTGGAAACCAGTCACCATAAGAACATCTCCAACTTTATATCGATATAATCCTGAAATGAAGGAATATCATGAAACTAGATTAGATCATTGTCTAACAGGTTAATGTTCTAAGATTAAATGGTTAGACTTATAAAGGAGGAAATTTTACCTGCAGAAGTTGTGACTAGTAGTTCATAATGGTGACCAGGCTTCACATTTACAAGGTCAACAGTTTCAGTGTCTTCATTGTTGCTCCTCATTTCCGTAGATTCATCATGGTCATTCTTCACAGGAAGGAATTCAAAATAAGCCAAGTTAGGGAGGAATGTATAAGAGACATCTGCAGGTTTGCATAGAGGTTCTAAATTAATCCCACACTGAGCTTCCGAGCAAGCATAGAAAGCTGAAACTAAAGGAAGCCCTCCGCTGTAGAACTCGAGTTCGGCGGTATATTGTCTCATAACGCCCGTACATATGCAACGGACATGGTTTGCTTTAGGCCATAGTTTTCTGATTATTCCTTCCCATGATTTAGAGTTGCATATGTTTTCTATCAAGTCAGCCAGTTGTGGATTAGGCTTGATGATCAATGATGATGCACTTCTGCATCCCGAGTCCGTGATCCGATGGCTTACTTGACCTGCTTTTATGTCAGAGCACAGCTCCTGCCGGTGATTTTCTAAAAATTTAATGGCTCTTAGCAACGCAGACGCAAAGACTGAGCCAACCAAGACAACCTCGTCTCGTTGGATTAAACCAAAAAGTAATTGACAGTACAAGCTCTGTTCGGGCTCAGGGCAAAAGATGGTCTCAACGGGGCTCGTGTAACACTTGGGTAACATGGCTCTAAACCAACTCTCCTTGTATATGCTTGTTGTGACGGATGCTGCCGTGAGGCCACTAGGAGTTTCAATCTCGGGTCTAGCAAACATAAATTCCATTCTTTTACCGGCTTGGTTTATGTCACCAAAGTGCCTTTAGAATCAAATGGATAAAACCCAAATTGTTAGCTTTAGGACTAAACTGCCCCTATAAAGCAAAAAAGGAGGAAAAGACAATTACAAAAATGGGTTCCTTACTTCATCACCGGAGACTCGTACAAGGTATGAAATAATTCCCGCTTCTGAGCAAATTCAGCAGTGACAGGCATCAGGTTTGGCTTCCCTCCCGAAGTTCCAGAGCTGCATATCATCAAACAGATGGTAGAATGATAATTAAACAGATGGTAGAATGATAATTAGTCAGATGAAAGGAGAATATAACAAGATTTGTAAACAAAAAAAGCAACATGTTCATGCATGCCTCATAAAGAAGCCTGTAATGGGTTCAGCTAAAAGGATATCAGGTCTCTCCCCATTAGCAATCCGATCAATGTAAGGCTTAAGATCTTCAGAAGTAACAACGGGAACATTTTTCTTGAAGAGTTGCTTGTCAGTTTGGCCATGGAGGAATCGCCTTAAATACTCCGTTCCTGCATTTCTACTTAGTATTTCCCTCAATAACTCATCTTGAATTCGCTCGGCATTTGTGGTCAACTCCTCGATCATCCTCAGCCCATCTTCACACCACTTCGTTTCCATCGAATCTATTACTGATTTCTAAACTGTTCAAAGGATAAGTTCTAAACAGCTCCTGTGTCCTCACTTGGGGTGTTTGAGCTAGGGATGGCATGGATCGGGTTCGGGTTTCAGCCAACCCGACCCGATCCAAAACTTTTACATCCTTCACCAGAATTAATCCGACTAAAAAATATATATCATCAACTCAATCTGAATTTGACCCGAAATTTTGAAGATAAAATATAAATCTGATCCAATCCGATCTAAAATAATAAAAAAATATTATTTTTATTTAATAAAAATAATAATTTAATTAAAAATATATATATATAGATGGATATTATTGTAATTATTCTTAAATATATAAGATAAAAATATATTTTTTCGAGTCAAGTATTTTTCACCTTAAATTCGAATACAACTCAACCCGAACATCACCTTTAAAAACCCGACCGACCCGACCCGAATTTTTTTTTTTTTGAAAAACTTAATCTTATCTGATCAGATCGAGTCGAAACCCGTCTGATTCGAATTTTATGTCCATCCCTAAGTGTTTCCGCTGCTTTGAAATGCAAACACCCCTTACTGCCAAAAAAATAATAACACTTTTTTGTATTAAATTATGAAATGGTTCTATTTTGTTATTCAAATAAAAATTTTACTTATTAATTAGATCATTTTATATTTTTAATTTTATTAATAGAAATCAGGAATAGGATGAGACCCAAAGTCGACGAGTTCTGACATGACTCGACCCGATCGGATGAGTTTTTTTAAAAAATTTAGGTTCAAGTTTATGGTGAAAAAATATGACCGGACCCGACCTGAAAAAATATGATTTTACATTATATATTTAAAGATAATTACAAAATATCCCTTTATATATTATTTTTCAATTAAATTTCTGTTTTTATTGAATAAATTTTTTTATTAAATAAAAATAATATTTTTTATTATTTCAGATCAGATCTAGTTGATTTCAGATCAGATCTAGTCGAGTTCAGATTTTATCTCAAAAAATTAAATCAGATAGAGTGTATATATTTTTTAAGTTGGGGCAGGTTGACCCAAACCCGACCCGTGCCAATCTCTAATATTAGAAACCATGTTCTTTTATTAGAATAATAGTGGCAGACGGGAAGTACTCAAACCTATACTGATTTGCTAATTACAGCTAAAGATTTTGGAATGTAATAATGGCTTCTTTTACTCAAATATACTAGAAATAATTTTTTTTATTAATATAATGTTAGTTTAAAATTCATAATTACGGACACATATTTATAATGTATATATTTATACGAAGTAATTTATCTCAGTGATTAAAGGAATCGTTGTTGTTCTAAGAGGTCACGGGTTCGAGCACCAACGACTGCAGCAGGGTGATTGAACATTAATTGTCAAATGATTAAGAGTATTTAGAATAGATACTACTTTGCAATCACTTTAACTTAATAAAAAAATATTATCTATTGTTATCATAAAATATGACATAAATTATATTTATAATTGTTGAGGGAAAAATTTATAAGTACATACAATAAATGATTCTTAAAAGCTGACTATAGAGTATTGAGTAATATTTAATGTTTCTTATTTATATATTTAATTAATTTTTTAATTTAAAAACAATTTATTAAATTTATTGTTAATATTATAAATTAGAGTAAACGACAAAATTGATCAATTCTTTTTAAGTTTTACACTCTCTTTTAAATTGACTTTAAAAATATAATATTTAATCACTTTTATTTTTTATTTAATTAAGATGTGGTCACTGAAAGTTAATCATTACAATACCATTAACATATAGTTGACATTGTGAAATTATAAAATTAAAATGAGTAAATTATATAAACGATCACTAATGTTTAAGCAAATTTTTATTTCCCCCATTAAAGTTTTAAAAGTAACAAATTGATCACTAAAGCATCAAATAAGTCCTTGAATATTATTTTATATATAATTTACCCCAAAAGGTTTCAAAATTTTCCAATATATATATAGCTTTTAAATTAAAAAAAAACTCATAAATTAACTTTTTTGGACTTAAAACAATCGAATATTTCGAATAATGAACAAAAAATATAGAAAGCTTTTGGAATAAATTAGATATAAAATCATCGTTCAATGATTTATTTGATGTTTTAATGACTAATTTGTTACTTTTAAAACTTCAATGGCGAATACAAAAATTTACTCAAACATTAGTGACCATTACGTTAGCAATTCGTTAAAAGTCTAATGACAGTTAACCTTAGTGGTCACATCTTAATTAAATAAAAAAACGTAAGTAACATAATCTTAATTAAATAAAAATAAAAGTAGTCAAATATTATTATTATTTTGAATTTGAAAAGTTTACAAAACTCAAACGAAAGTGATTAATCTTATAGTTTATCCTACAAATTATTTTAATTTAATTTAATAAATTTAATCTTTTAATAATACAATTATATATGACATCATTTTATTAATAAAAATTTTAAAAAGAGTTCTAAAGGATTAAATCTAGAATTCAAGGGTAAAAAATATTTAATAACTACATCAAGTTAAATAGTTATTATAAAAGCAATAAATATAATATTTAAGTGATTGGTATAAAACTTTTATATTATTAATTATATGAAATGTTTTTCTCTATTATTTTTTATTTTTATAATTACACACGTAACTTCTTAAAATAATGTTGCGTTATTATCAATGTCACGTGAATTATTGATAAATTTTTTATAACACGAATTGTAATATTTTAAAATACTACGTGTTTATTTTGGCATTAAGAATATATTAGTTATAGAGAATAAATAGTATATGTTCTAAATAATTTTAGTTATTTGATAATGAACATTCAATCACTCTGCTGTAGTCATTGGTGCTCGAACTCATGAACTCTAGGAATAACAATAATTAGGGGTGATTATTGAGTTGAGCAGCTCGAGAACAACTTGAACTCGACTTGGTAAAAGCTCGACTCCGGTTGACTCGACTCGAAACCTTAGCAAGCTGAGTTGAACAAAATTCAATTAGACTCGATAAGTTCACGAACAACTCGTTAATTTTTTTTAACCTTTTCGTAGTTATATTAAAAATTTAACTCATTGAAAAATTACTAATTTGGTAATAGATAATATACAAGATGATAAATTATTAATCTATTATTTTTTTAATTAAAAATTAAAAATATTAATTTAATAATTAATAATTATTATTTTACTACACCCAAATCAAACTTTAATTATTATTTTAATATATTTATTGATTGTTATTTTGGTTGTAGACTTTCAATTTATTCTATACATTCTTTCAATAATTCTTCAGTTAAATTTATTAATTTATGTTTATATTAAATTTTATATAGTATTAGTATATTTTACTTATAGTTAAAAAATAAAATAAAAAATTCAAAAAACTGAACGAGCAATGAGTCGAGCAAGAGTTTAATGACCTTAATGAGCAACGAGTCGAGCAACAAAATTTCTTAACAAGCAAGAGTAAAGCAACAAAATTTCTTAATGAGCACGAATCGAGTAAATTTTTAATGAGCTTAACAAGCAACGAGTCAGACAAAATTTTAATAAGTTTAACGAGTAATGAGTCGAGTCAAACAACAAAATCTTTTAACGAGAACGAGTCAAGCATTACTCAACTCGCGATCGACTAACTCGGTAAACATGACAAATTATAATAAATGATGGCGGCTTAGCTGTGATATTTTTAAATAATATTATCATATGAAAGCCGTGTATTTAACGAGAGCCTTTAGTTGCTCGCCAAGATCCTGATCTCATCTTTGTTTGTCATCGTAAACTTTAACGAGAGAAAGATAAACATGACAAATAATTCTCATTAAATAATAATATAAAACCTAAAAAATTAATTTTAAATTAGAACTCTCATACAATTAACCAAAGAAAGGTGCTTAAATAGTCATTGTATGAAACATAGCAAACTAGAAATTCCAAAATAAAAGAAAAAAACAACTTGGATAAAACTAAAAAGCCAGTTCCAAAAAAACAAGAATGACATAGCATATATAATTTACTAGAAAATGCATGTAATTCAATAAAACATGTAATTATTCTCATATAAGCTTTTAAACATTGGAAAGAGTAGGGTCTTTGGACTGAAATAACACACGCATTAACTTACAAAGGTGACTTTGGACTGAAAAACTTTCCTATCACTCTTGAATCTAATATCTTCAAGGCTTCCTTAGATTTAATGCAACTAGGTCTCTTGTATTGGCTCAAAGATGCTCCGTTGGCCACATTGTAATCCATTAGTGCATCAAATGTTCCCTGTTTTACAACCCTAATCTCCAAAGGTGCAATTATATTCTTTTTCCTATAGATTTTATATGTATAATGGAACGACTCTTCCACTCTATAGCAACATTCTGCCATTACCTTTGGGTCGAGCTCTTTGCAATGGTTGCCTTCTTTTTGCTTCAGCTCCCAAAATAAGACATAGTGACCTGGTGCTGAGGAAGTATCAGCATAGCTAGTGTACTCTGTCAACACGAATCCGAGTGGATCGAGATGGGCCTTTGCTTCTGTCACAGCCTTGAAGAGGTCTGATTCGCTTGTTTTTTCCTGGTCTACACTTATAGCAACATTTTGCCTCTCCACAAATTGGAATTGAGGTGCGTTATTGTGAAAACCGGTCACCATAAGAACATCTCCAACTTTATATCGATATAATCCTGAAATGAAGGAAGGAATATCATGAAACTAGAGTAGATCATTGTCTAACAGGTTAATGTACTAAGACTAAATGGTTCGACTTACAAAGGAGAAAATTTTACCTGCAGAAGTTGTGACAAGTAGTTCATAACGGTGACCAGGCTTCACATTTACAAGGTCAACAGGTTCATTGTCATCTTTGTTTTTGCTCCTCATTTCAATAGATTCATCATGGTCATTCTTCACAGGAAGGAATTCAAAATAAGCCAAGTTAGGGAGGAATGTGTAAGAGACATCTGCAGGTTTGCATAGAGGTTCTAAATTAATCCCACACTGAGCTTCCGAGCTAGCATAGAAAGCTGAAACTAAAGGGAGCCCTCCGCTGTAGAACTCGAGTTCTTCGGTATATTG